GAAGGTTTCCTCTCATAAGCAGGTAGTCGGTTGGCGACCCACTTAGGGATTTGGGGCATTATGCTCAGACAGCTCCTGAGAGGCTTCTCATAAGCACTATGCTCTTTGTAGACTTCACTCTTTGCATTGTATCAGTTGTTTGTTTGTTTGTTTTTTACAGGTACTACTCTGTTTTATACCCTCTGGAAAGAAAAATATCCGATGCAAAATCCCGAGACCTGGTTATCTATATCTGGGCCCATGCAATAGTGGCCAGCATTCCAGTATTTGCTGTGACCAATGTGTCTGATATTTATGCCATGTCCACCTGTTCTGAATCTTGGAGTTACTCCCTTGGCCACCTGATATACGTCGTCATCTATAACATCACCACTGTGATTGTACCAGTGGCTGTGGGATTTCTCTTTATGATTCTTATTCGCAGGGCACTGAGTGCCAGCCAGAAGAAAAAAGTCATCATAGCTGCCTTAAGGACCCCTCAGAATACAATTTCTATCCCTTATGCGTCCCAGCGAGAAGCTGAGCTTCATGCCATGCTGCTTTCCATGGTTATGATATTTATTTTCTGCAGTGTCCCCTATGTGACTTTGGTGATTTACCGCACCATACTCAATATTTCAGATATTTCAGTCTTCTTGCTCCTCACTGCCATTTGGTTGCCCAAGGTCTCTTTGCTGGCCAATCCTTTGTTATTTTTAACTGTTAACAAATCAGTACGGAAGTGCTTAGTGGGGACAATAATACAGCTGCACCAAAAGTATAGCAGGAGAAACATTGTCAGCTCGAGTGATGTGGCAGACCCTAATCTGGAGCACAGTGTCCGTTCGGGGAGCCAGCTTCTGGAGATGTTTCATATCGGGCAACAACAAATCTTCAAGCCAATGGACGATGAGGAGAATGAGACCAAATCCATTTGCTCTAGTGACTTTCAACAGAAAGAAATTCCTACCACCAGTTTAGAGGTAGGAGAGACTTCGGTTCACAAATTTATACCACAGACGACTGCAGACTCTGCAGCTCAGGTGGTACCAGCTGTGCCCACAGAAGCTAATATGGTAAATGACAAATACTCCATGCAGTTTGGTTTTGGACCCTTTGAGCTGCCTCCACAGTGGCTCTCGGAAAACCGAAACAGTAAGAAACGACTCCTGCCTCCTTTGGGGAATACCCCTGAAGAGCTAATCCAGACGAAACAGCCTAAGTGTAAAGCAGAAAGAAAAATCAGCAGAAACAATAAAGTCAGTATCTTTCCCAAGGTGGATTCTTAGTAAGAACAGGAGCTTAAAGTGACAGAGGAAGGTCACCTTCTATTCTATGTGTGATCCCATGGATCTTTGTTATGCTGAAATTTGTTACAGGCTGATTTTTTTGTGCCAAATATAAACAAACAAACGCACAAAAAGGAAACGTTTATACAAGTGTTCCTTATTAATATGTTTTCATGAAAATAATATATCAAAAGATGGTGATTCTTACTTTTATCTGTGAAATCCCTACAATGATACCTGCCTGATTAACTTTCAAAAAGTACCTATGGCTTTGGGAACACATATGGCTGAAGTATGGAAATACCACAGTCAGTTTGCTGGGAAACCTCGTGTTGTATTCAAATGGACTGTGTATCAAAGTAACTTAATAGGAAAGGCTGTAAGGAGCAGGAGACATGCAAAATGGGTAAGTAAGTCCTAACCTCCTGTAAATAGACTCAGCAAGGTTCTGCACATTTCATTAATGAAGTAAGGTGGAGTATTAAGTACATCTATTTTCTGTTGAACACATTTCTTAAATCAGTATTAAAAATAAAACTTGCTGGACTTTTTGCATAAATTAGTTACCAAGTATCTACCAAACATCTAAACTTTTTAAAAACCTAAACCACTATTTTTTGGCTTAAAACCTCAGCAAACCAAGGATACCCTAATTGTCATGTGTGTAAAACCTAAGAAAGACCTTTGTTTTTTAGAAAACATATATTCTCATAGTTTTAAGTAACAACTGGATTGGACACCACACAGGACAAATTCTGTCTTCAGTAAACAAATACATATATGCCAAGGGCATAAATAGAACACTTTGCTCCTGTGATAAAGGGCATATACAAACATCCCAAGAGTGTAATGTGTGTATTGTGTAAGTAACCAAGGGGTCCATCTTAAAATAGGCTCATCTGCCTGTGCACTCTGGTGTTTCCTTAGGGGAAAGCTAGCAGGTGAAAGAAATGGGTCAGAAATGCTAGTAGCCTTGTACTGAACTGTTGATGAGGAAGCTGATAACAGACCCCAAAAGGCAAGGTTTATTCATGCCGTTGCTCACTAATGTCAGAGGTAGGGAGGTTTTCCTTCTACCTTCACAGATACAGATACCAGCCATCCTACTCCACTCGTCTTGCACAGTAGACCACTCAGTGTATGAACATGAGACTTTTAAATCTGGTACCTAATTCCTGAGTGAATCAGCCATGCCGTCCCTGAAAGGCCATCATAGACCAGCACACCAGCCTTTCTATGAGAGTTCAGGCAATGTACTGCAGCCTGCCCCCCCCGCATCATCACAGGCATATTGTCTTGATTATACTGACTGTGACTTTTAGCTACATCGGTCTGTTAGATGACCTGAAATTATTGTAACCCTGGCATTTTGATCCTTGTTCTGTTGCAAGCAGTCTTTCCTTCTTCCTTGTCTGTATTCACCGTTGTCTCTGTGGGTAGTTTCTTAAAAGCACAAGCTTGTGACATCTGTGTACGCCTTGTGGTTCTCCTGTACTTTAGCCCTTTGGTGCATGCTGAACCTTTATCTGTAGTTACTGACTGTTTATGACACTAGTTTTCTTTAAAGCATACTTTTAAAAGGACAAGGTGAAGAATCTTGCCAAATTCACAGTATCTTACTAATCCAACTGGTTAATGGCAAAAGTGATAAAAAATTCTGCTGAAGCAGAATTTAGAGATGTACCTCTTCTTCTTTTGACATGTTTGAAGAAAGTCAGCAGCTTCCAATGGCTCCAAGGTGGTGGATTTCTACAAGGCATTAAAGCAAATATTTTAATACAAATGTATTTTAAAAAGTTTATAAATTACTGTGTAAATGATGTTTTTCTCCATTTCCTCTTTGGTTTCAGTGCTCTTCACTTCTTGCTAGTTCTAGAACTTCTCAGCTTGGGAGTGAGGAGCAGTCTTCGATGGCTCCAGATGGGTGGTGGGAACCCCAGCTGCCCTGCTTCTTAGGTACAGGGATGAGAAGGCAGGCACAGCTTGCTTGAAATCAGACAGAAGAAATATTCCAGGAAAAAGTGTTTCTTCTGTGGCAGAGGTAGAGAAGTACCATAGCAGACTTTTTTTTTCAAGGGTTGATAAAAAGTAATTCAGTGGAGTGTTTGTTTTTCCAAAGTTAGTGAAAGAACATTCAACTCTCACATTGAATGAAATGCCAGTGATAAATTCAAAAAGCCAAATTGCATAGAATTTAGTTTTATCATAGCTGGAAAGCAAGGGGTTTGTGGTGGTTTCCGACTGTCGAGATAAAAATATCTTTTTCTTTCAAAGACGACACATGTAAAAACTTGCTTGTATTTTTTTTTTTAGCAGATCATATCTGAAAACATTGAAACCTTTCACCAGCAAATTAACTAAGATGGTTTTCCGTACCTGAAGAATTATTTGGGAATGTTTTATTTTAGTCCCTCTTTCAACAGTTTATCCATGTGAATGTTTAAGGGAAGTAGAAAAAATACACAAAAAGCACATCTTTGCAGAGAAAAACTAATCTGTGTAAAATTAATAATACAGCCCCTGTGCTAGAATTGTCATCAGAAAACAGTAATTCAGGAGACTCTTTATGCAAGATGGAATATTTGACTTGTAGAATTTGATTTTTAACTTCACCTAAGACAGTGGTAACTTTGAGTTATTACTGCTGTCTGTTGGCTTGTTGTTCAAATGATTTCTACTGGGCAAAATGTTCTCCAGCATCCAATATATAAAAAAAAATAAAAACCAAGACTTGTTTTTTTCTTCATTATCGCATTAAAGAGAAGCAAAAGTGTTAGTTTGGGTTTTTTTGTTGTTGTTGTTTTGTTATGGTGGTTGTTTTTAACCACCACAGGTGTTGGGAAGGTAATTTTTTCTCTCCAGATTATTGATGAAAGAAAATGAAGTACAAAGCAAAGCTGTGGGAATTGAAGAAGTGAAAGCCTATGGTAATTTGGCCTGTGCAATTATGTTTAAAAGCTAAATATTACTACTGGAGAATAAACTTGGAGGAGGGAAAGTTAAAACTCATTATTCTAGCACTTAGGGGAGAAAAATAAAAAATGGAGCTCATATCAAACAAAGGAAGAAATCCTTTAAAAAGGATGAAAACACTATGGGGACAATGTCAATTTACTGTTCCTAGATATCTTCAAGAAGTATTGTTAAATTCAAACAAACATCATGTAAAAATTAAAAAAAAACAACCCCAAACCACACAGTCCTTCAGCACCAAATAATGCTTTATTGGTTGGCTACTTGGGAACAATGTATTTTGCACAATGGGATAAATTTCCAGAGAAAAGCTGTTGTTTCTAGAAACTTCCCAAGTATCCTACTCTATAATGGATCTAATTGTTATTAAGCTGCAGTAATTTGATGAATGCATTTGTTCTGGTTTTAAAAATACACCTATAGATAATTTTTTGCAGAAGAGGTTGGCTGGATTTCTGTAATGAGTTTTCTTCTATTCTGCTCCCTGTTTCCTGGGAAAATATTCCTGTATCCATTGCCTGTATCTTGAGGAATGGAGAGGAAAGTCAGGCGGTGGTTCCAGATCAGTAGGGCTGGGACTTAGCAGCTGGTTCCAGCTAAACAGGAACTGTCCCCTAAGCTGCTGTGAAGGTAACCAGCGCTGGAGGTGATTACCTGTCCCACAGAACTCAGGTAGTGCCTCTCATTCATTTCACCTGACCTCGCACTGCATAAATTGATAAAGAATGTAAAAATAAATAAAGCAAAATCCCTACCTTCTAATCTTATCTAAGTTACTGTGTAATTGTGCTTTAAACTACGTAGGAGTCAGTATCAGATAATCAATGTTTTTTCTTTTTTTTTTTTTTTGCGCCATAAAGGACTCACCCCTCCCAAAAGATATTGTTGAAATCATTGCTGTCAAACTTAAAACATTCTTACCTCTTCTTATTTTAGTTGAAGTGACTTTGTGCAAAGTAGGGATATTAACAGGATTTCTAAACAAGTTACAATGATGTCTTTAATGATCAAACTGAGACCACAAGTTTAGTCACTGCAATCTTCAGTAATTTGTTATTCAAGGACAGTTTAGGAAAACACAATGCAACAGAACGCATCTTGTAGAAGATTGCAGAACTCCAGCTGCAGATGCTTGCACTCATGAACAAGTTGATTCTTCCCTGGAGGACACAGAGGGGGAACAGCAGGAACCAGCCCAAAGTGGTCTTTGTTCCACATCTGGTTTTAAGCTTCTAAACCAGCCAAAGATGGTGAAGAGTATGTGGAGGCTGATTTTTCTCATTGCTTTCTTCAGGGACAACAAAACAAGAGTGGGATACAGAAGCATTCTTCCTCTCAGTGGAAGCACCTCTGCACGTGCATGGGAGTGCCCCCAATTTCTGTAAAACTAAACCCTCTGCTTTTTGCCTGGACAATATCCTAAACCACAGAAGAAGGCCCTTACACACTTGCAGGATCTCATTCTTCTGATCCCCTTGCACCTGCCCGGCAGCAAACTCCAACACACTGCACCCTGCAGCACTGAGACGTTTCAGCTCAACACAATCCCTTTTGAGCTCCTGCTTCCTAAACTCTGCAGTTTTCCAGCAGAAGAGGATGTGGCAGCATGGAAGACAGTCTTGTCAAGACAGGACCTTTCACAGTGCAAGTCAAAGAATGAAAACCTGGCTTTATTAAATACAATGGCAATTTTACCACTGAGTCTGGACTCAGCATTTTAGTTTAGCATTCCCTCCTTAGCTGATGGTTATGATGCTGTACCACTATTGCTGATGGAGCACACTGCAGAACTCTACTCATCCTTACCCAGGGTTTCTGGAAAAGTTGGAGTGTGGTCCAAAATTCCTGGCTTTTTGCCCTTGACTTGGCACATGCCAGTCAAAAGATACATTGTCTATTTGTCCTTTGCGCGAAAAGGGTCTGTTTATTCCCTTAACATTTAGGGGAATTAATATAATGAAAATTAGCTGTGCTTGTCCTGATGCGAGTACTTGAACTGTTACTGTCTACCTTAAAAATATTGCCTG